GGACCAGGGAGGATGATTCAACCACTCAGCCACTAGATGTCGCTGAAAACAACAAATCCTACACACTGTGCCTTTAAGGGACATATTGACTGAAATCATCGTGGATTCTCACCTGAGTAGATTTGTTTCCACCATTCACTGGAGGAGAGTTTTCTGTAGCTGACGTTGCCTCGGTCTACGTTTTTTGGCTTTCTTCATACTCCGGTTTACGGCGGTGTTAGGGTTAGCTGCTCCTCAATGGTTTCCACCATTGGGCTCACACGCGTGATTGATATTGAGAGTGTGTAGCACACAATTATGTCATCATGCGACCCTAATTGCAGTAATTGTAAAGTGGCAAATATCCAACGATGACCATTTTTCTGACGGTTAATCGTACTTGACATGATTTTGCCCAACTTTCGTGTGTAGGACTCTACAGGATCTTTGACTTTCTCCCAACTCAGRTCAAGAGTCCAGTTCTGTGAAATACTCCCTGTTCTGATGATCCTTCTGCCTTCAGTGTCTTTATGCCTGTTGTCTTCACATTTCACATCATGAATGTCCAGAAGAGACCACTTTTCAGGACCCACAGATAGCCTTGAAAAGCCATAGAAAAACAAAATGCTTCAGTAACCATCACTGCCTTACTGACATGTGTTTGTAAGACTGAAAGGTTTCACAGCTACTGTCTGAGGGGGTCAGCACCAGGAACACTGYGAGGGGAACACCTGACAGTTCACATAGTCCAGCCTAGAGTCTCTTTTAAATAAACAGTTTATATCTGCATTAACACTTCATCCTCAGAAAAATAAAGCACAACTAGAGAATTTATATTTCCTAAAAAAATGCTATTTGAATGCTTAATGTTGAAAGATTTTAGCTGAATAGCTAAAAAATCTGTAACTAGCCTAAAACAGCTTTAAAAAGTAGCTGAGATTTAGCACAAAGAAACAGAATAAGTATGTTTGCTGGATTAAGCAGTAAGATGCTGAAATGATCACAAAAAGGTGAATTTAGCTGAAAAAAGCTCAAATTTGCTTAAAAATTAACTAAAACTCCGAAAACTGCTGAAATTAGCAGAAATCAGCCGAAAAAATGCACAAAAAGCTTAGGATAGAGGAATGACAGAAAAGGTCAGAATGAAAGCTAAAAAAGCAGAAAAATGCTAGAATCAGCTAAACAGAAGCTGAAGGAAGCTGAAATTAGCACAAAGAAGTTGGAAAAAACAGCAGAACACATGGTAAAAAGTACCTGTGTCATAAACATTTTAAAGGATTTAAGTATGTTGAAGACGGCTCTATTCAGTTTAAAAAAATATGGCGGGGAAAAGCTAAATTTCTCAAAAAGTATAAATTGCTGAAGTGCCAAATGTCATAGCAGGCATTGTTGGAAGGTGCTATATAAATAAAGTTTATTATTATTATATTATTTATCTTTGGTCATCATTTCTCCTTCAGGAACTGGGGAGAGTGGGAAAACTACCTTCATCCGACAGATGAGGATCATCCACGGCCGGGGTTTCTCAGAGGAGGAGAGGAAGGCCTTCGCCAAATGCATCTTCCAGAACATCTTCACCGCCATCAAAGCCATGACAGGAGCCATGAGCATGCTCCGGATTCCCTACGCCAACCCTGAGAATGAGGTGGACTCCTGCACCTGACTCAGCATTAACACACACACAAATACCCTACTCATAAACACAGGCRTTAAAGCTAAGATTTATTAGATAATACCTGTGCTGAAAGGGAGCATTAAACAGTCATAAACACAGTGCATATTAACCTCTGAGCAAAGCAAAGGGTGGAGGACACGCAGAAGGTGTGCCAGGATGTGTTCAAACCCTTTTTTTGTTCACCATCAAAAATTCTCTCCTCTTGTAGTCCTACGCCAAGTTGCTGCAAGATGTAAACACAGTGCACATCACCCAGCTGGAGCAGAGACATGTCAAAGCTATCCGACACCTCTGGGCGGACTCGGGGATCCGGATCTGTTACACCCGACGCTGCGAGTACCAGCTCCTGGACTCCACTGAGTAGTGAGTAAAGCTAAGGTTCCTCATCCTACGTTAGGGCGGGAAATTTCAAAATACTGGCGAATGTTGGCAGTCAGCTGCGTCTTTGTGTGTGTGGTGAAAAAAAACAAACAACTGAACATGCTGCAACCATCCATATTTACTTATTTACTTAGTCCAAAAACTGTAGAAACACCTGCAGAGTTTAAAAAGTGTCTGAATTATATTCTAGCTAAAAATAGTTGACCTGAAAGCTTTTATTTTATGGTATTGTGACTAAAAACAAAACTGCAGCTGCTGGCAACAAAAAAAAAAAATACATTTCATGTTATGTCAGAAAGATGATCCTGTCATGTAGATATGAATTATTTTTCATCCAGTGCGCCCCCAAGAACCACTGAGCAGGGGACAGGCACCCACTTTGGGAACTTCTGGTTTAGGAGGAGCAAAAGCTTAGGAAGAGCAGCGCAAGATTCTTCATTTTGTATTGCTGAAAATGGGTCACCTTCAGAGAAAAACCAGTTATTAAATTAGCAAGATGGACAGCTTCATGGAACAACTGGTCCTATTGAGCACGCCAACGTGCAACTGACGTCCACGTCTTCTTTTCATCTCTGTGGTAAAGGTTATTCTCCTCCAACTCTTCATCCAACATGAGTTTCTCTTCAAACGTCTACAAAGTAGTCTTGCTGTTTTTTATATTCTTAGCTATCTGCAACATATTCTACAGTGGGAGACCAAAGGAAGAATTTAAGATCATTTATCCCCTGCCACACGTTATCTACAAGAAAATATGACATCCATTAGCAAAGAAATGTTCAAAATTTACTCCCATATATTAAATTAAAAGTACTCCATTAATCCCCAAATGGGAAAATTAGTTCAATGTGTGTTTCTCATCGCACACGTGGAGCAGTAAGCTGCCTTGTAAGGCACCCGGGTAGCGGGGTTGGGGGTGTTGAGGGCCTTGCTCAAGGGTAAATGAGGGTTGCCCACCCACATTTTTGTTCTCAGTTTGGGGAGTTGAATCTGCAGCCTTCTGTTCACAGGATGAATGATTTTTGGGTAAAATTTTTTTAATTATATATGCTTACTGTGGTCCTCTTGGTTAAATAACCCTGCAGTAGGGTGTGTAGTGGTCAAAAGTAGAAATAACACAAAGCTCGAAGTCTTTTATGGCATTTTTTAGTACCACATTTYCTTTAAAGATTGCAAGAAGATAGCATAATATTCAGATCAATCTCTTTTGTAGTTCCTCAGTGCTGTACCAAAAATCATATAACCCAGGTTCTTATGTTGTGCTGAAACCAAGTGATTTGGGAGCATTTGAATCAAAAAGCCAGCTGTGTAAAAACCAAGTGAAATCATCCTTTTGAAAGTAAGCCACCAGTCTTTATAGGGATCCCTGATTAGTTGTAACATTAAACTTTATTTCATAAACATTTATTTTAACTGTAAAATAAAGACTGTAAAAAACTGTAGGCTGTTTAATTTTGTAAATTTTTAAAAATATATTTTAACACGGATGGAGCCATTTTATTTACACACAAAGCATTATGGGTAAATGATGACGTGGATAGGTCTTCGGTGTGAGCGAGCTATATCCACCCTGAAGGTTAATCTTGGACAATATCTGACGATTGACTCTTTTATAAAACCAGAGAGCGTTGACAGAGAGGAGAAGGTAGAAATGACTCAGCCTGTAACTGAAAATATTGATGGAGGACAACAGAGCTGCTTCATGGAAGAAGAACCTCAGCTTAGCCTGTTAGCCTGTTAGCCTTTGTGCAAGCACCAACGCAATATTGCCTTATATGTATTAGCTCGGCGCTAGCGCAACCAACAAGCTAAACTCAGGTCCTCCATCCATTATTTTCAGTTGCAGGCTGAGTCATTTTTGTGTTCCCCTCTCTGGAGGACCTCAGTGACGAGAGGAGAATGTGTAGCGCTGAGCTAATACATATATATGGTGATAGCATCGAGGCTAATGCTAAAGCTAACAGGCTAAGCTGAGGTTCTTCTTCCATGAAGCAGCTCTGTTGTCCTCCATCCATATTTTCAGTTACAGGCTGAGTCATTTCTACCTTCTCCTCTCTGTCAACGCTCTCTGGTTTCATTTAAAAGAGCCAGTCGTCAGCTATTGTCCAAGATTAACCTTCAGGGTGGATATAGCTTGCTAGCAGCCTTGCACCGATGACCTAACTCACGTCATCATTTACCCAGAATGCTTTGCGTGTAAATAAAATGGCCCCGTCCGTGTAATATATTTTTAAACTTTTAGTTTAACAATGATAAAAACTGAACAACCTACAGTATTTTTACAGTCTTTATTTTACAGTTAAAATATATGTTTATCAAATTAAGTCTAATGTCACAACCAATCATGGATCCCTTTATTTGTCACAGTGCAGAGTTACCGTCCAGGTGGGTGTTTCTAATCTTTCTGTAATGTAAAGGAGGTGTGATCATCAGGTATCCGGACAAAGCCTGGGACAAACCTGCCTGTATTGGCTCTCTTTCCTCTGGGTGTTTACCCTGCAGCTCAGTCGTCACGATGTGTGCTCAATAAGAGTCAGTCAGTCAACATTAGCTAATGACAACTCGGATCAACGGTAGCCATAAAGAGGCTGTTTGCAAACAGACCGATATGGGCTCAGTCCGCCCTCTTCTTCTGTTTTTAATCACTGTTTTTTTCCCCCCGTCATCACTACTTCATCACATGTCCAGTTTGTTTTACACGATGGAGGTTTGATGGAAAGTAAACAGAAGCAATATGATCCAATAAGATCTATCAGAAACAATAATTTTTTTCTGTTTTAACCTTCTTCTCATTTTAAGCTACATGAACAGCTTGGACCGTATCTCGGCCCAGGACTACATCCCGACGGAACAGGACGTGCTGCGTGTTCGATTCCCCACCACGGGCATCCATGACTACTCCTTCACCGTCAAGAACATCACACTGAGGTGACCGGGCCTCACATTACCAGCCTCTCACAGGGACAAATCTAATACCCGCACTATTCACTGCACTGTGAATCAAATACTATTGACTGCTGCGGTGTCTTTGTCTGCCCACGCCTGTTTGGACACAGTTGGATCATATTTCTAATTGCCTCTGTACAAAGTTCCTGCTGGGAAGGGTTTTATTCTGATTTTAGACTCACTTATAGGAAACTGTGTTCCCAAATGAAATCACTGCAGCTCTTAAGACAGTCTGGGTTGAAGGTTTATACTCTAAAAAAATGTGGTTTTGTTAAGTATTTGTATGGATTTAAATTTTTATTTAAAACTCTTCTCTCTCTCCTTTTCTCTGGCAGGATTGTGGATGTCGGCGGTCAGAAATCAGAGCGTCGGAAGTGGATCCACTGCTTTGAAAACGTCACCTCCCTCATCTTCCTGGCCTCTCTTAGCGAGTACGACCAGGTTCTGGAGGAGAGAGACTCTATAGTAAGAGAACTTTAGTTTTCTCTTCACTCCAGCTGAAAGTGGACAAAATACAGTGATGCCCTGACGTACGAGTTTAAATTGTTCTGACGGAGCTTGTAAYTCAAATTACATGCGTGTCGAATCAGTTTTCCCCAATAGAAAGGAATTGAAATGCCCTGAATCCACTCTGCATTCCCACAAAAAACACTTAAATTTTTTTGTCACATTGTAAAATAAGATGATTTTTTTTATTATTAACAAATATTGTATAAAAACCCAATACAACAGAATGTACTGCATTAACCTGGTTTTATTAAATATGATGTACACCTCGGACATCAGACGACTTGAAGATGCTGATGCAGGTGGAGGAAAAGGCTGAACAGAAAATAAGTATCTGGCTGATCACTGTGAGCTAAACGCTTAAAGGGTAACTTAMCCCAAAATTTACTTTTATTTATCTGATAAGCTATCTAGAATGTGTCTAAATTGTTATATAGTACTATTTCTGTGCTAATTTTGACGTTTTTGTTTGTATTTGTTCAAACAGCCTGACTCTCCTTCAACCTTGGGTGGGGAGAGGAGGAGGGGGCTGTCTGTCCTGCACTGCTCTCTGTGTTTTAATGGAGAACCAGCAGGTTCACACTGGACATCAGTCATAAAACAAACTGAGTTAAATTAGTCATTACAGGTCTTCTTTGTGGTTCAATATTGTTTTAAACAAATTCAAAAGTTTCTTTGTCACATAGTTTTGATCGGGACTAAAACACACAGACACACACTCACAGCCCAATGATCTATTTTTATTAGAGCTGTTATTATTATAATATAATATAGATCATTGCCACAGTGTTCAGGAATGAATGAATGAAAGGCGGACAGATGAAGCTCAGCCCGCTGTACGTTCTGCTGAAACACGTAAACAAGAACGTGTGTTTAGCTAATTAATTTAATTTAACAAGGAGCTGCTGTCGAACCGGATCCAAACTTCAGCCAAACAGGAGCCAAACTTTTTTATTCCTGACCTAAACAGTGATCTTGTGAGCAGATGAGCTGCAGCACAGGGTTTTTTTTCTGTCAGGTTGTCGGGCCACACCAGCTCTGCTGTCCAGGGCTGGTGTGGTCTGGAACGGACAGAGACCAGCCGAGGCTGCGGTATAAAGAGCTTCATGTCCTGAATGATCCAGGGAGACAACACGAGTCAGTCCCAGACTGAGATGACTTGATCATTTTAAATGAAATATGTCATGAATCATTGTGTATGTCATGAAACTTTACTTTTTACAAAACATAATTTGTTTAGAACGATCAGAAATGTTAGCTTGTCAAATTAAGCTAGCTGTCACGTTCTCTAGTCCTAACCACACCTCCTTGTTCACCCCCCCCACACACACACACACACACACACACTTTAGGCGGTGCCCTCCTCCTCTCTCC